AAGAAAATGTAAATTTTTAAAAATTTTATTTTTATTTAAGTAATCTCTACACCCAGTGTGTGGTTCAAACTTATGACCCCAAGATCAAGAGTCACATGCTTTTCTGTCTGAGCCAGCCAGGCACCCCAGAAAATGTAATTTTAAGTGAATTTGAAATACAGAGCCACAATGGTTGGCCACGCATGAGATGGTGATCCTTTCCCTCACCCTCCCAATCACACAATTTATTTTTCCTGCTTGGAAATAAATGAGCAAGGGATGAAGAAAAGAAGAGAAGCTTCTTTCTTAGTTCTTTCCCAGTGTATAGAAGTTCCAAAGAAATTCTGGCTTGATGCATCAAGAAGAGAGAGAATGGTCCCTGACCTTTCCCCAATCTAAAATAAATAAATATTTTATTTTAGAATAGTTTTAAATGTGTAGAAAAGTTGCCAAGTTACTAGAGTTCCCATATACCCCACCAACCCAATTTCTTCTCTTATTGACAGATTAGTATGGTCCATTTGTCACAACTAATGGACTAATAATAATATATTAATATTAATGAAACTGCATAATTTATTTAGATTTTATTTCTTTTCTTTTTTTTCCTTAACCCAGCGTTCTGACTCTCTTTCAGGACTCCATCCAAGATACCACCTTTCATTTACTTTTAATATTTCCTTTGGCTCCTTTGGGCTGCGATAATTTCTCAAACTTTGTTTTTGATGACCTTGACAATTTTCAGGAGTAATAGGTATTTTGTAGCATGTCCTTCATTTTTTTGTCTGATGTTTTTCTCATGCTTTGACTTGGGTTATGTGTTTTTCTGAGGAAGACATGTAGAGGTGAAAAACCATTCTCAACCTGTCATATCAAGAATACATGCTGTCCACATGACTTATCACTGTTGTTAGCCTTGATTACATAGCTGAGGTAGTGTTTGTCAAGTTTTTCCACTATTGAGTTACTTTATTATTTGGAAGCAAGTCACTAAGTGTAGCCTCCTCTTAAGGGGTAAGGAGTAATGTTCCATCCTTCTTGAGGAAGGGTATCTATTTAAACTATTTGGATCACTTCTTCATGGGGGGTTTGCATCTTCTTCCCCATTTATTTTTTAATATCAGTATATATTCCTTGATATTTTATATTTAAAGTATAAAGTATTTTATACTTTGGACTATAATCCAATAATATGGTATTTAGTTGGTTGTTCCAGCTTTGGTCATTGGGACCTCTTTCAATTAGCTTCTATGTCTACTCCCCAACTTTTGATTATTAATAAGGTGGGTTACACAAAACTTAGGGTCCATCAGGGTTATGGCCTGTTACCCTGGGGGTAATGTGGGGAAGAAAAGATCAGCAATTTTCAGGATAGTCTTAACGCCAAAAGCTGGTGCTTTGGTTCAAGTGGTGACATGTAAACTTCTACCTCAGAAGGTTCCCAAGTGGGTCAAAACAATGTACTATAAATCAACTTCAAGAACCCTATTGCTTCCCAGGAAAAATATTGTTTCCACTTTTATTTTGCTCAAATTATGCTCAGATACATGGTTTAATATAGCTTACCAAAGATGAGTTCTCTTATATACCCCACCTTTTATTTCTATGATCATAGGATTAATTTAAACTTTTTGTTTACAAAACTTAAAACACACACGCACACATGCACACAAGCAAATACCTAATTCCTACAGTAATCATCCCTAGGATAATTTTAATCCTTAAACCTATTACATGATACAGTCTAGATCCACATTATTATGTAAAGCCACAGACTTTTTTTTTTTTTTTTTAAAGATTTTATTTATCCGACAGTGAGAGACACAGTGAGAGAGGGAACACAAGCAGGGGGAGTGGGAGAGGGAGAAGCAGGCTCCCCGTGGAGCGGGGAGCCCGATGCGGGGCTCGATCCCAGGACCCCGGGATCATGACCTGAGCCGAAGGCAGACGCCTAACGACTGAGCCACCCAGGCGCCCCAAGCCACAGACTTTCAAAGTGTCTTCAGTGGTTCTGAGGGATAGAGGTTAGGTGGAAAAAAATGAGTTAATTGATAAAATAGTTTGGGTTCCAAGCTAGTTACCTAAAGCCTATGTAGGGCCACTGAATTTTATTTTCTCAGTGAAACTCAAATGAGCAAAATTTCCCTCCAGAAGTTAAGTGATAATTTTACCATATGAGGAGTAAAAAATTACTTATGCATATCACCTCCTACTTTAGAGAGTGCCATTTGAAACATTGCTGTTTTCTTGCAAATTCTATAAATGTTTTGTGACCCCAGTCACAAGAATTTATTCAAGATTTCCTTTTTTTTCTAATGTTCATGCCACATGGTTAATATATCTTACTTTCTACTTCCTTTAAGAGTTGTTATCCTTGCCTCACCCCCTCCCGGTGCAAAATTAATTATCGACTCTGGTGACCTAGTCTTCACTTTCTTTAGTGATCAGGGAACCCCTCACATGTAAGCAAATAAATCTCATAGCCTTGGTAGAAAATTTCTTCTCCAGTATTTTCTCCTACTAAATTGTTGGCAGACATTCTTATTTTATAGGTCAAGGTGGAAATATGAATCAAGGAAGAAAATGTTTCCTTCCAAACATAGGCATATATTTATTAAAAATGATGTATCACAGAGGCTCATGTACTGGGACTGTCTGTGTAGTTTGGCCTAGTTCTGACAAAGCTACCATTCATTCAGTAGGATACAGGTTCTCTTTTTTTGGCTTATTTCTTTCAAATATATTGATTTTTAAAATAATAAATGTAAGTGGCCATTATGTAAAATTTTGAAAATGAGGAAAAGATGTAGAAAAAACACTAACTCTAATTACCATTCAGAATAAACTACTATCATTTTTTCTAAGTTTTATTTGTGTTTTACATAGTGTAAACATTTGTAAATTTACATCCTGTGTTTGTTTTTTAATTATATAGAAAGAATTTCCCATGTTACAAATTTTTCCGATGTTTCATTGGCTATACAATATCACGATGATTATTATTTTTAAAGATTTTATTTATATTTGACAGAGAGAGACACAGCGAGAGAGGGAACACAAGCAGGGGGAGTGGGAGAGGGAGAAGCAGACTTCCCGCTGAGCAGGGAGCCCGATGTGGGGCTCTATCCCAGGACCCTGGGATCATGACCTGAGCCGAAGGCAGACGCTCAACGACTGAGCCACCCAGGCACCCCAATATCACAGTGATTAAATGCACCATCATTTACTTAATCTTTTTCGTGGTATTTGAGATAAAAGACTTTAAAAATATAAATCAGCTCTAGACAAGAGAAGTTTTGAAACATTCTGAATACAAACCTGGAGTAGATACTTAAATTCTTTTCTTTAATATAAAATAAGAAAAGCTGGGGGTGCCTGGGTGGCTCAGTTGGTTAAATGTCTTCCTTCAGCTCTGGTCATGATCCCAAGGTCCTTGGGTTGAGTCCCACATCAGGCTCCCTGCTCAGTGAGGCGCCTACTTCTCCCTCTTCCTCCCCGCCTTGTGCTCTCTCTCTCTCAAATAAATAAATAAAATCTTAAAAATATAAAATAAGAAAAGCTAATATTTTTTATATATTTTGCTTTAACTAAGATTATGTAATCATTTCACAAAATCTATTTTCTTTTCAATATGACCACTTAAATTATATGTTTAATATTTTGTAATAGGGGCTACCTGAGTAAGAAAGATGAAGCTTCCTTCTTAAAAAGAGGTTAACATATTTTAAATAAATGGCTCCTCCCAAAAGTATGAATTATATGCTTTTACTCCTTTTGGAAATTAGATACTTCAATATTCTTTGATTCAAGTATTAGGTGTTTCGCTTGATTTAGTAGAAAAATTTTGATTGTTAAAATTATTTTAGCATTTATTATCTCATTCACCTGATGCCAAAGCCCATCTTCTAATGACCTTCTTATCATTATCAGTAAGTTGAATAATGGTAAGGACCATCCTCATCTTATCAGTTTATCTCCAGCACCTAGAAGATTGCCTGTCACATAGTAGGCAATTAATAAATGCATGTTAAAATAATTGTTGCTTTCCTCTGCCAATATTTTCAATGACAATAAAATAAATCCTTGAGAAATCTGGAAAATTGGAATGGTCCCAAATCTGGACCATAAGAGTTGTACAGAGTCCCATGTAGTGAAAACATAGAAAAATTTTAGAAAGGAGCCATTGTTTTAAGTAATTTCTAAATGAATAGTAAAACATGTATTGCAGGAGTTAATTATTACCATGTTAAAGCCAGAGGTACTGGAATTATCAGTGGCCCTTTTCTCTTGGATTTGAGTATACAAAGCATATATTTATCCCAAAATAATATATTTCATTGTAATCCATAGGTAAGTTACACTTTTTTTCACCCTACTTATGAAGATATCTTGGGTATTCAGAATCACTTTTGTGCTCCAGGTATAAAATATAAAATTTTAGGTACTGAAACAATTTCAGCATTTTTATATTTGTAGGATGTATCCATCCAGATATAAGTGACTTTACTTAATGTGCAAGGAATAGAAAAACAAGAGAAAGTTATTTAGTTGAATCAAAAGGGGAATATCTAATACATTAATACATGTTAGAGAACAAGATGATGAAGAATTTGGGATTTGGAGATTAATAAAACTTCTATCCCACTGTACCATTTATTTGCTGTGTGACCCTAGGCAAGTTATTTAACTACTCTAAACCTTAGTTTCTTCAGCTATGAGACAGGAAAATCTATAGTGCCTATTCTATTGTCAAATGATTGAATGAATGTATGTTAGACCCTTTTCAGACCTTTAACCCACTATTTGACATAGAAAAAAACAAAGTGAAATATTTCTCATTTGTATTCCATTAAAGAAGCTAACTACTTTAGATAGTATGAAAGTGATGCACTAAAAAGGGAGGAAGTGGAAATTTTGAATTCTTATTATCTAGAACAATGCTTATTTGCTATCCAATTCAGTACTATGAAAGAATCCAGAAGTCTTGATCAGCCTGTTCATAAATTCCTTTGCACCCCTAGATTTCACATGTGCACATGATGGAGAAAGTGAGGCTGAATTTTTACCTGATGACTTTGAAGAAAAACCTGAAAGAGAAAAGAAACATACCAATTTCACTTTGTGCAATGTTTGTAACATTCAGCTGAATTCGGCAGCTCAAGCACAAATCCACTACAATGGCAAATCACATCAAAAGAGATTAAAACAACTGAGCAATGGGATGTTGAAAAATGACAATGGTAAGTTTTTCTAAAAATATATTCTCAATTTTACATCATCAACTTAAGTTATTTGTGTACCCGCAGATGTAAATATAAAAGAATAGACTAATCTATTTTTAAAACCAGGACAGAACATTAAATAAAAGCTTTATCAGCACAGTACATTGAATCATCTCTCATAGCATTTTGGATGAAAAGGGGAAATTTTGTTTGTTGTATATATTTAATTGTATTAGGATTGTTTTCATGACCCTCCAAGATATTTGTTATAATTTGAAAAAGTTGACGTTAGTGTTCCTTGATGTTCAACTTTAATGTAGTTTTTTGGAAATGGACATCCTTTTAAATTTTATATAAAACAATATTTAGAGTTTTTGTTTTTGCATGTTAAGGGGCTTCAGTTGGTTAGTAAGATTGCAGTTAAACTGAGAAAAATACATATCTTATGAACTAGGTGTTTGAACAATAATGTATGATCTGTCAGTACTTAAAGATTGTTTAAATTTGCTAGTGAAAATACTAGCAAATGTATTAGTATTAGAAATCATTTTAAGAGAATGTAAAAAAATCTTATATTGCCAACAATGCATTGATCAATATGGTGCTTAACAAAATTTATTGCTACATTTTCTATTCATTTGTTTGTTTAATTGTTTTAGAATACATTTTGAAAGTGTATGTTGAGTTTTGGAGTAAACGGATACTAAAAATAGCACAAAAATACTTTTGGAAACAAATGCAACTTTATTAGGAAAAGCAAGGAGAGGTGAGGGAGAGGAGGGGTGGATTCCTTAGGAAGGCTAAATCAATAGCAAACAAAATGTTACAATCTTGTATTCTGGTTGGATACTTCATGTTTGATAAATAAGATACATTTTGTCTAAATTTAATGTCACTTAAAAATGAGCCTGAATTTTGACCTGTTCTCATGACTTGGCATCATGAAGATTTTTTAATATAAATTTGTAGTTTGCTTCAAGGCTACCAAATAATGAGAAGAAAAACAGTACATTTTTAAATTGGAAATTATTTCTACCTTGCTTTGTTCTTTTTAGTATGGCTAAGCTAAAATAGTCTAATTAGAAAGGACTCCATATTTCTTTCTACTGTATGGCAAATAGTTCATCTTGGATGTTATTGGTCAAAGATATGTAAAAACAAAACAAAAATAGTCATCAGAAAATAATTGAGAATTACTAAATTCTATAGGCATAAGATGAACTAGTAAGACAGAATGTGTTTCTTAAGTCCTGCTTAAAAATATATATTTCACAGCCTCTATTTTGAACTTCTTAACCTTATGTTTGACATTTAGGTGAAACCTTCTTAAGCACAGTATGATTCAATTTCAAGTTGTTTTTCTTTAAGTTTGTATTGTTGGAGATAATGGTAGCAGCTTTGGTGTTTTCCTTTACCTATGTTTATATTGACAAACTTCTTTTGGAGGAATAATAAATGATATCATAGAAAGAAACCAGGACAAAAGTCAGTCATGCCTGGCTTAGAAACTCAAATCAGAGCCAGTCCCAGACAAAATTTAGAATGGTCAAAGTTTTCAAATCCTAGTAATAGGAATGAGTTCTCTCAAATTGATTATCTTAAAATCATTTTATCAGTGTATTTATTATGGGCTAGTAGTGTGGTAAAGTCTTTATATGCATTTTCTTGTTTAATTTTTCCTTACAATCACAGAGATGTTGCCATTATCTTCTTCTTATAAATGTGGAAATTGAGGATAACATCGATTAAATAGTGTGATGAAGGTCATACAACTATTAAATGGTCAAACTAGCAATCAAACTCAGGTCTTATTCATTTACATACCTCCACTTCTGAAGTCTACTGCCTTCTCAGAATGAATATTCTGCAGAAATTGTGCCTTTCTTTACTCAAAGAGAGAAATCATTTTAAGAGAACATAAAAAAAATCCTATCATATTGCCAACAATGCATTGATCAATATGGTGCTTAACAAAATTTATTGCTACATTTTCTATTCATATTATTTTTTTCCAAGGCTCTTTCTAGTAAAAGTCTTTAAAAACAACCATGAATTAGTAAGAACACTTGGTTTAGGTCATATTAGTTTGGTCTGGAATGATACTTCAGAGGAATGCTCACCTTTATCTGCAGGTGGATCTTACTATGGTCAATCGACCTCACAACTGCGTTAGTACCTTACATTAATATAGAAACATATTATTTCTTGTACATATTCCTCCACCTCCCCATTCTAAAAGTGTACTTTTTTAGACCTGTTCACAAATAAGAAAGGAGCCCAATTCCAAGCCTCATATACCTATTAATGGTAATTCCTTTACCACACAGAAACCAAGCTAAAAATGGAATTCCTAAGAATAAAGGATCCTACAAATTCTTAGTTGAGAACATTATCATTTTTATTTAGAGAAAGATATGGAAATTGTTTTATTCTTCTTCTTGAATGTTCATACTTGCAAAATGGACTGCAGGACTCGCCCACAAAATCATCTGCATCTACTTCCTGGAAATCTACCTAAGACACCACCAATGCTTGCTGTATCTTAATAAGTAATATGCATAATATGCTTCATTGTTCAAACGCAACAAAATTTAATACTTTCCTCCATCTGTATTGTCTATTTGATGCCTAAATATAAGTGGTCATCAAAAAATGCAAAGAGAACAAAAAGTGAGTTAGTATTTATTGTTCCAGGTGATTTATATATATCATCTATTAAATCCCAATCAACAACTCTGCAAAGAATATATCATTCTATTTTATAAATAAGGTAGCCAGGAATCAAAGGGACTAAGACACTTACCAAATAATTCTATCCATAAAGTCACCTGTCTCCATTATCAGCAACATACAAATTTCTCTGGTAAATGTAAATTCTAGTGTCACAAAATTATATCCTACATTTGGATGTATTCTTATGTTGTTGAGTTGTTATTTTTTAAACTACCTAACTTACATTATTACAACAAATCTGAGTTTCCTTAAATTCTCTTTACCAAATAACTGCTGAAAATATTTTGTAGAGAATAGAGTCATGTAAATAGGTCTTGTATAATTTATCACTGTTATTCCAGAAATACATTTCTTTTTGTTGCACATTTTTTAAAGATGAGAAGATACAAAAGTGGCAAAAGGGTATTCTGTAGTTAAAAGTTGCTTAAATGTGTTGACTTTATCATATTCCAGAGATTCCATGCTTCACCCTCTCATGAAAGCTATAAAGTAAAGAAATTCCCGTACAAACTGCATGGCTTACTAATTTTCTCTTTGGAAAACATCTTTAATTATTTATTTACTTAGAAGTTAAGTTCTGCAAATGACTATTATTTTTCTGATGATAAAAATAATATTGTCCCATCTGGACTATTCATAAATGTGCAAAACTAAAATAAAAATCACCTAGAGTCCTGCGGAGATAATTTCATCTAAATTGTCACAATTCTATCAGGTATGCAAATAAATATGAGTAAGCAATATTGGATGTACAGTATTACATTCATGATAATATAATGGTGTTTGCATACCACCACCTTTTTATGAATGCATATTTTAAAATTACCCTAAAGAAATTAATAATGGAATTGTGATTTCTGGCTAAATGTTGAGATTTTGTTCACATTTGTCATTTTATATTCTAATTATGTGATATATCCTATAATGGAAAAACCTTGAGGTTTTTATTGTGTATCTAGGGTTTTAATAAGATTTTCAAGAAGTATAAAGTTGAGTATTAAAATGAAGTATACTAAGAGTATATAAATATACTAAGATAAAAGTATACTTTAAAAACTGAAATTTGAAGATTAGCATAAACATGCTCCTTTGATTCATAAGAGCATTTTGGAATACATATAACAAAGGGTAAAACTTTCAGAGTATTTAAAGTTTCTATTTAATAGAAACTTTAAAAATACTTTAAATTTTTAATACTTTAAAAATTGAAATTAATTCAATTTCATGTGCTCACTCACCATGGTTAAGCTGTTGTTAAAGCTTGTTAAAGAATTGAGTAACAAGTTGACCTATTGTGACAACTTTATTTTATTCATAATACCTTTGTCATATTTGAGTTATTTTATTAAGCCTGGTTTTCCATTTTTATTGGGTTGAAACTGCTATCAAATAATTCAGTTTTATCTAATAGTATTCTAGAGTCTTTCGGTGCTCATTGTTTTGTAACACATAAATCTAGAATATTGTCGCCCTTATCTATCCTCTTAGCATTAAATTTTCTTTTATTTAACAGAAAAGCTAAATAAAATTTTCCTTTCAAGCTCTCACTGATCTATTTTCTTTTCTCTTTCCATTGATTGTCCCAGATAAGGTTTAAAGTGTCAGTGGATTTTCAGTTTATAAGAGGTGCCTTCTCTTGAAACATTGGTAGTTAATAAAAATTCAAAATAGTTTCATAGAATTTTCTGTTACTTCAGGCCTTGATTTTATAATAAATTTCTCATTTATATAAAAATTCATTTCACCTTTTGATTTCCAAGGACTATTTGTGCTTTTGTAGAATGTCCATGGACTAGTTAGAACTTACTAGTATATTTATATACTAGTATATAGTGATGCCTTTTGGGGTCATTTTCCTAAATAATGATAACTGCTTTCTGAATAATATCTATATTAGTATATGACATAATGTGATATGGCAATAAGGAATGTTGCTTTTCTCAAGCTTCTCTCTTCTCGACCTTTAGAAGGTTCAGCCTAGGGGAGGCAATGAAAAAATGCTGATATTAAATTGTCCAACATTATGTAATAAGACATTTTGTTCTTGTTTGATCCAAGTTTCTTTTTTTTTTTTAAAGCCATGAATTCTTTTTTTTTAAAGATTTTATTTATTTATTCATGAGAGAGAGAGACAGAGAGGCAGAGGGAGAAGCAGGCTCCCAAGGAGCAGGGAGCCCGATGCGGGACTCGATCCCAGGACCCTGGGATCATGACCTGAGCCGAAGGCAGACGCTTAACCATCTGAGCCACCCAGGTGCCCGATCCAAGTTTCTTTTTTATCATTG